CGCCACGCGCACGACGAGGAGGTGGCCGATCTGCTGCAGCGCATCCAGGCCGGGCCCGGCCTCGCCGCCCTCGACATGCGCGACGCGCTCAAGCCCGACGTGACGGCCGCGCTGCGGGAGATCCGCGCCCAGCTCGAGGGCCACGCGGCGCAGAGCACGCTGCAGTCCGAGGAGTGGTTCCGAGGTGCGGGGCAGGGGCCGAGGCGTGTGCCCCCGGGTGCTCTGCGGAGAGCTGGGGGCGCAGGGGTGGGAGACGGGGCGGGGGGAGGAGACGCCCCCCCGGAGGACTGCAGGGGAGGCCCCGCAGTCTGTGCTGAGTCAGGAGCCTTCTGCAGCAAGTTCGGCCCAAAGTCCGAGCCAGCTGCACCTGGGAGGGGCTGGGGCCCCCCGTAGCATGCTGCCCTGCAGGGGAACCCGCTCTCACACCCAGCCCTGCAGCCTGGCGTGAGTCACTGCAGAGACCCCCAGGGACCCTCCAGCCCCTGAGAAGGTTGCCCCTAGTTGAGCTCAGCTTGGGGGAGTGGGATGAGTTGGCAATTGGCAACTGTCCTTTCTCCTGCAAGGGCAGCCAGAGCCAGCGCAGTGCTCCAAGCTCCCTAGGGCTGGGATCATTAACTCCTGCAACTAGACCCGTGCTTGGGGAGCTGGGGACTCACTTTCCACCTTGTAATGGGACCCGTGGATAATGAATTAGCAGACCTCAGCACTGAAACAAATGCCCTTCATGCCACGCTCTTCTGCGCTGCTGGGCAGGGGAGGAGGGATCTTTCGCTTCTTTCTGAGGCAGTGCTCCCACTAAAGTGCAGGGACCACAGGAGCCCCCAATGCCAGAGATGAGGGAGCGGGGACCATCTAATCCCCTCTCAGCACTGGGGCTTCTGTCAGCCGCTCTCTTTTGGAACAGAGCTTTCAGGGCTAGTCCATGTTCCTGGGGTCCAGGCGATATTTCTCCTTTGTTTTTTATCTTGTAGCTACCCCACAATCAGTGCTGTGATTTGCAAATCTCCCTCCCCCTCCACTCCCAGTACTGTTGCAAACACTTTCCACACTGAATCCCAGGCCCTCCCAGGCAGAAGTCTGATGAGGCTGGAGTCTCCTGTGGACCTGTGCCAGTCCAGAATTTGAAGCCAATTAAATCAACAAGCCAACACCATCTGAACCCTCCCCAATGGGTACAGTTGATGCTGATTCATGTTGCTGGCATGTGCCAGCCAGGGATATACAGCTGCCTCTTTCTACTTGGTGAGCAGTGTGAACAAGGTTTTAGCAATCAAGAGCTAGTGGGAAAGGCAGCACTGAAAACAGTTATGAATTGTTGTTGTTGCTCATTCTTAATGGTGATCATTAGCACCCTTGTCTTGCTCCCTGGCTATGGAGTGCACTTGCCTGCATGTGTGGCAGAGAAACCAGCTGGATCTCCATGGAAATCTGGTTGGGGCATAGCAGGTTGCTGGGAATCCTGTGTCAGGTGATGCAGTACTGTCCCTACACTGCAGAGTTGGGGGAAAGAGGGCGTTTCCTCTCAGAACCACCTTGAGGCCTTTGGAGCCATTCATTTAGCCCCTAGCAAGCTGCACAAAGCCCCTCTCTGCCTCCCTGAGCCTGCTGGAGCTGGGAACCTGCTCTCTGGTTCCTGCTGCCTTGCCCTGAGCTCTGGAGCAGCCCAGGCTGAGTGTAGCTGCCCAGTGCACTCAGCCCGGGGAAAGCCAGCCTGCTCCTACTGAAGTCAAAGGCAGGCCCGGGCCATTTGCCTTGAACAGGGCCTGATCAGGACCAAGGACAGCACCTCCGCAAAGCAGCAGGGCAGCACAGGCGACTTCGTGTTGCTGTCCCCAGCCCTGCTCCAGAGTCACTGTTTGGGGTGGAGGGCAGCCCCTAGCTTCAAGCAGGGTATAGGGAAAATGAGATGCCCTGGAAAGCTTCGTCAAAGTACCTGCCTCCAGACTGCTGCCTCCCCACTCCAGTGTAGAGAGCTCTGAGGCTGGAAGGGACAGCTCACGGGCCTTCTGCCCGTGGTGCTACTGTAATGCTGCACTGCCCACCCCAAGACAGCAGCAGCAGGGCACCTTGGGAGCAGCCACCCCCTAGGACTGTAGTCCCGCTCTTTTCCCCTGTCCCAGACACCGCTCTGCTCACACTGGTTATCAGCCTTGGCCAGTGCCTCTACCATGACAGCCTTTGTGCTGGGGCTGTCCTTTCCCTGTCCCTTCTCCTTTATCTCTACAGCTGCCATGCAGTCAGCTCCCTCTTTCTGCAGACCATGCCTGGGGTGCAAGCCAGATGCTTGGAAGTCTCTGCAGCTTCAATAACCAGGGACATAGACCAGCACTCCAGGGCATAGTGCTGGGAAAAGGAGGTAGTCAGTATTGCTAAATAGTGCTTCATAACTGAGAGCCTTTGTCCTCTGCAGACACAAGCTAATTCTAAGATGGAGGTGATCAGTCCTTCCTGACCATTTACATGCTGCCCCAAGAGCATGTCCAGCAGCTCACACCCAGCCTGCCCTTCAAGAGCCTGAATAGACATTGTACAGTCATAAGGAGGGGGTGAGGTTCATGTCCTTGCACCAGCCCAGTACCAGCAAGGAATAGCCCTTGTCCTCTGCTGCTTTCCTAATCCTTTCTGATTCTTTGTGTTCATACAAGTCAGAGATGGAATAGACCTATTAAAGTGAATCTATGCATGTGCCTAGGTAGGATCCCAACATCCTTCCCTTCCACTGAGGGCATATTGGCTCTGGTCACAACTATGTACAAGGGCATTTCCATGTTTCCACTGTGGGTATGGAATTTTGCATGCATTTCTGTCCTTCTCACCATTCTCAAAACGCTGTTTTACCATCTTCCTCTGATGGTCCCATCCCTTCTGTCCCGAGAAGGATGAGTGTTCGGCAGCTCTCCCAGCCTCTGCCAGCCAGGAGTGCCTGTGGAACTGGATCATCAGCCTTAGATGCTTCTCTCTGGCTGCACATGGCCATGCGGCAGAGTCTGCTAACTCATGCTGGGGGGTTGAACCTGGTCTGTGCTGATTTATTTTTCAGAGATTTAACTCTATAGAGTTTACTTTCAGACTAACCTGGGGAGGGATCAGCACCTGGGGAACTTGATAGGGAAGTTGCTGCCCTAGAGGGAGAAGTGAGAATACATGACTCCATCCATAACCTTGGAAGGTCACTGGAGTGAAGCAGACTCTTGAATTAGCTGGTACAGCAAAAACTGTTGTTAAAATGAATCTATGTCCCTGCTACATGTTTCTGCTGCTACAGGTGGGGATTGTGAGGGAGTTGGTGGTGGCTAATGCTGGCTTTCCTAGCCTGCTTTGTGAAATTGTGGTGCTAGGCTGGAACATCACCATTCCTATAAGGAAGATTAGAGAGACTAATCTGCTTCTTGAGATCTTCAACACCATAAATCCCATTGGCCTTTTGATTAGTACAATGGCCATTTAACATCTGAAAGAATATACTGTATGGTTTCAAGGAGATGGACTTTCTGATCAAACAGGTCTCTTCCATCTTCGAGGACCTTGGGGCTCAGAATCATAGAAAGTAGGGTGGGAAGAGACCTCTAAAAGTCATATAGCCCAGCTCCCTGCTCAAGACAGGATCAACCCCATCCACCATCCCATACAAATCCTTGTCTAATCTATTCTTAAAATTACACAGTCAATCCTATTGCACAGCTACAAGACATATTGCCCAAAGCACCCTTAACCTGCTACAGGGAAGACAGGGGAACAATTGTGGCCAGTGTCTGGCTGCTGCAAGGGTTGTATAAATGTGCTTAAGAGATGAAGTTTTTTTAAATCAGTTGCAGAGAACTATGACTATGTTGCAGAGACATATGCTGACCAGAGGGCCTGCACTGGGGAATTTCTTTCTATGCTGGCTAAAAGAGAGCAGTAGGCTCTTCTTTTTCTAACAGTTTTAATTTTTCCTAATGCAGCAGTGGAGGCATTAGCTCTGCCTTTTAGCAGTTCTCTGCAGTGGAAAAAAAACCCCGACCCAAAATAAACTGGGGCTGGGTTAACATGAGAATCCAGTGCCGTATGGGGCTACTGCAGAATTCTGGCTGTCTCTGAGAACTCATGACGATGGAGAGACTGACCAGCAGGCACTCTGACACTAAACAAGGGCTGCTGAAAGAGAAGCAAGGCTTTAGTTAATGGAGGAGGGAATTCCTCCAGGACATGAAGCTATGGACTGAAACTGCAGCAAAGTAGATTTCAATTACATCTCTGAAAAAATGTCCTTACTGTCCGGGCAGTAGGACAATGAAGCAAGTTGCCCAGGGATGCTGCAGATTCTTCTTTGGGGTTTTCAAGGTGAGGCTGGGTAGTCATTTGCCTGGAATGCTTTTGGAACAGAGCATCCTGCATTTTTTTCAGGTGATTGGAGTAGCTGACCTGTTAAACTAGTCTAACCCACTTATTCTGTCCACCCCACTTTTCCTCTTGCTTCCTTGTGCTTCCCCCACTTTAGGGAAGCTGGATAAGCTGTCTGAAGTTGCCAAGCTGAACACAGATGCCATCCGCTCTGCCCAGGAAGAGATTTCTGAATACCGCCGGCAGCTCCAGACCAAGATGACAGAACTTGAAGCCCTCAAGGGAACCAAGGAATCTCTAGAGAGACAAAGACAAGACACAGAAGAGCGCCATCATATTGATGTTACATCCTACCAGGTAACCTGTAGCAAAGGGTAGAACTGAAAGAATAGGACAACAGGGTTAGCTCTGAGGTCTCTGAGCATTTAATATTGCACTATGATCTTCTCCTGCAAATCATTAACAAAAGGGCATTGCTGCCTTTTGTGGGGACTGGAGATTAGCTTCCCTTGCTGTTGAGACAAGATCTCATTATCAGTGGTAGACTACTACAGGCCACATAGGGGTGGAATCAAATCTGGATATAACTGATCCAGAAAAGAGGTGGGTATCTGATCTCCTGGGACCTCAAGGTGAGACTCTCCCCAGGGACTTGCACACTACTGTCTGGCTAGCATCCCACTATCTAGCAACTGATGTAAATAAGGTCTGGCCAAGCAGAGTCCAATGCATGTAGCTGCAGCTCAGATATTGCTTTGCTTGTGGAAATGGGTGTCTGCTGTGAATCAGGGCAGTCCAGACCAGACCGGATCTCTGCCTGTATTTCTGATGCAGGAAACCATACAGCAGCTGGACAATGAACTGAGGAATACCAAGTGGGAGATGGCAGCTCAGCTTCGAGAGTACCAGGACCTGCTGAATGTCAAAATGGCCCTGGATATAGAAATTTCTGCTTACAGGTATGAGACTAGGATCAGGAAGTGGGGAGTGTAGATGGGGTATTAGGAGCCAAGGCCAATGCTTGGGCTTTTGAAGGTAGTTTTTAGCCAGTCCCTCAAAAATATTCAGAGCTAAGCATGCCCAAGGTGTGCTTTCAACACCTCCACCCCAATCCACAGGCACAATGCAGCATTGTCACCCTCAGTGCATTCCCTCCAATGGACAACCTAATTCATTCCACAGCCTTTCCTCAGCATCAAGCCAAATAACCAGCAGGACCAGTTTTTAGGCCACCACCCTCCTTGCACCTAGGAAACCACTTGCCTTTGAGCCATAAGAGGTGCTACCACATTAAACACCAAGCCACTGGAGTCTTAGGCTGGGCATGGCTTCTGAGATTTCCTCCAGCCATGGGAGGCATGCAGAGATCAAGGGGTGAAACCCTGTAGCACAGGGGTCATCAATATATGGTCTGTAGGCCAGATTTGGCCTGCAGAGTCATTTAATCTGGCTGAGGATATGGGACTTTGGAAGTGTTTGGTGGGAGGGGGCTTCAGTGGCAGTCTTTCTGTCTCCACATTGACTTCTGTGGAGAGACATGGCAGCAGCTGGGTCTTAGTGCTCACCTTGCTACCTGCCTCTTACTCAAGTGGAGTCATTCTGGTCCCTAGCCTGTAAAGGCTGCTAATTGCTGCTGTAGCAGGTTTGTGGGAGAGCAAGCCAGTCTTCCAAGCCCTGTTTGGGAACATCCCGTATTCAGTATCATTGATGGGTTGGAGCCTCATCATCAAAGGATTGGAGGACTGACTATCAAGTAGAAATAAGGGAATCCTTGGTAAATAAGGGACATGATCCAGGGCTTGCTGCAATATCCCACTGAATTGGGCTCTAGGTCAGATCCCAAGAGGTTACTAAAGCAAAGGCAAGGCTACCAATGCCATTTGGTGGTTTAAAAAGCAAAATCTGACTTCCCTTTTCTGCCTACCCCACTCTCCCCAACAGAAAGCTCCTGGAAGGAGAAGAATACCGCATCGGAGTTGGGCCATTCCCCTTCCCTGAGATGCTTCCTAAGACTCCCAGCATCCCCACCCACATAAAAGTGAAAAGTGAGGAGAAGGTCAAGGTGGTGGAGAAGTCTGAGAAGGAAACTGTAATTGTGGAGGAGCAGACGGAGGAAATCCAGGTAACAGAAGAGGTGACAGAGGAAGAGGAGGCTGAGAAGAAAGAGGAGGCTGAGGGGGAGGAGGAAGCAACTGAGGCAAAAGAGGAAGAAAAGGGAGAATCTGAAGCAGAAGCAGAGGGTGAGGAAGAGGAGACCAAATCCCCAGAAAAGGAGGCGGCCAAGTCCCCAGCTGTCAAATCCCCTGAGAAACCTGCGTCCCCCACAAAGGAGGAGGCCAAATCCCCTGAGAAACCCGCACCCCCCACAAAGGAAGAGGCCAAGTCCCCAGCGGTCAAGTCCCCTGAGAAACCTGCATCCCCCACAAAAGAAGAGGCCAAGTCCCCGGCGGTCAAGTCCCCATCCCCTACAAAGGAAGAGGCCAAGTCCCCGGCAGTCAAGTCCCCTGAGAAACCTGCATCCCCTACAAAGGAGGAGGCCAAGTCCCCTGAAAAGGTCAAGTCCCCAACAAAGGAAGAGGCCAAGTCTCCAGCGGTCAAGTCCCCTGAGAAACCTGCATCCCCTACAAAGGAGGAGGCCAAGTCCCCTGAAAAGGTCAAGTCCCCAACAAAGGAAGAGGCCAAGTCTCCAGCAGTCAAGTCCCCTGAGAAACCTGTATCCCCTGCAAAGGAAGAGGCCAAGTCTCCAGAGAAGGCCAAGTCCCCTGTGAAGGAGGAGGTCAAGTCACCAGAGAAAGAAGTTGTCCCCAAGAAGGAACCCATCAAATCACCCCAGAAGGAAACAAAGGCACCTGTGAAAGAAGAGAAACCAGTGGAGAAAAAGGAGAAAGCTCCAGCTAAGCCAAAAGCTGAGGAAAAGGAAGAAAGCAAGAAAGAGGAGGCACCCAAAAAGGAAACCCCAGCCAAAGAGCCACACAAACCTGAGGCTAAGGTTGAGAAGAAGGAGGAGGAGAAACCCAAAGAGGAGGACAAGAAGAAAGCTGCTGCTCCTGAGCCTCCTGCCCCTGAGAAGAAAAAGGAAGCTGTGAAAGCTGAGGAGAAAGAGGTAAAGGAGAAGGAACCTCCCAAACCAGCACCGAAACCCAAAGAGAAAGTGGAAGAGAAAGCTGCTAAGCAGGAGCCTGAGCCCAAACCACAGGAAGCTAAGGCCAAGGAGCCCAGCAAACCAGCAGCAAAGGAGGCCGAAAAGCCAAAGGCTGAGGAGAAGAAGGAAGAACCAAAGAAGGAAAAGTCTGAGCCCAAAAAGGACCTGGAGGAAAAAACCAAAGCTGAAGCTAAACCCAAAGAAGAGGCAAAGGCTGCCAAGGCAGAACCTAGCAAAGACACCAAGGACACCCCCAAAGTAGAAGTACCCAAAGAAGTACCAGAGGCTACCAAACCCAAGGCAGAGAAAGCAGAAAAGTCTTCAAGCACAGAGGCAAAAGAAAGCAAACCCACAGAGAAAGCTGCTGCTCCTGATGACAAAGCCAAGAAGAGTGAGAAGTGAACAACGGAGCTTTGGACATGTAAGGAGGTGGGCCACCAAAGAGAGCTTTGAAGCTTTCCCTGATCTGTGACTGAACATGCTTTTTTTTCCAAAAGATGAGACTTTGCTTAGGTGATGGATGACCTCCTTTGTCTGAGCTGGAACTTACGTTAGCAATATGTTTATGTGAAAGACAAAAACAAATACCTGAGCCTACTCAACTGGTGGTTCAAATATGTTATGATAGCTTCAGTAGCAGAATGTGATATATGCAGAATGCCACATTTAAACACTTGAATTATTAAGAAAAACTGCCCCTTTTCAAATAAGTGCATTTATCTAATGTATGTGCAATTGATGGACAAATGCAATAAAGAATGTACACAGTTAGAGCTCTATTATGCTTTGGAGATGTACAGTAGATAGGAAACTCAAGAGTTGTAAATGCCTTTTCATTTTACAAATGGAACAAAATTTCTCACTTGTAGCCTACACAGACTGTAGCTGACATGAATGGAATCAGGTTAGACACTGCAGAACTCCACACAGATAAGAAGTGCACTAGACAACTCAAGTCCACTTTCAATTGCTTATGTGCAATAAAACAAATAAAGTGCTTACAGACAAAACCATTCCTGGTGTCCTCTTTGTGACTTTTTGAAGGAGAACAGGATAACGGCCCATGAATGGGGAAGGGCCACTGAATAAAGAACGAGAGTGAGGCTGAAGAGTGTGTATGAGTTGGAAGGCTTTAATACAACCCACTGTAGCTCCCATATGGGTATCCTAAGAAACTGGTCCTCAAGACAGAATGTGTGCTTAGTTCTGTACATGTACTTAGATGCCTAATGCCCTTTGGTTTCTTGGTCTCTAAACAAGAGAGATCTAGTGAATTCAAGGCTGTCCATGCAGACTAGCTGGGCTAGAAAGATTCAATCAGTCCAGTCCTCTTAAAGAGTCACCCATTGTATCTGACATCATGACCCCATATGTAATCACACTTGCATCTGCACAAGGATGAAGAGAATCACATGTCTTGGCTCAGCGTAGGAGACAAGCAGAGGTCAGGAAGGCATTTTTTTCCTGCTAGATCAACCACTGCACAGCCAGCAGGCTATAGCACAGAGGTTGTTTCACCTACAAGGCTCTTTCCCCGATTGGGGGTGTGATGGCAAATGGTCAACAGAACTGTGTTCTGCTGGAGTGAGGCAAACCATGTGCCTCTGAAAAAGACAGTTAAAGTTCAGATCCTGGAGTGTACTCTCAAGCTGATGTGTGGGATCTCACTCTGTGGTGTGGTCTGTGTAGTTGGGAATGGAAGGATCCTAGCTCAGGGATGTCATGGTGGGCTGCAGGGGGAAGGGCTGAAAGCTCCATTGGTTATGCTTTCTTTGCTCCTCCTTTACTCCAGAATGTGATGGGTACCACGAGGCTGTGACATTTGTTCCCTGTCAGCTCCTAGACATGGAGCCTGGCTGGATTGGAAAGTGCCAGTGCTAAGCAGGAAAACACCCCAGTAGGAAATCCCTTTGGGGCCATATGGGCTGGCCACCGAGTCACCCCAGCTGGTCACCAGGTTTCTCTCATCCCAGATTCATTGTGGGATATGCCCAATTTGGAACAAGCCTTCAGTTCCTGAGCTCAGCCACAGAACCAGTGTAGAAGAAGAGAAGGTGGACATCTTTCCTCTTGCATCTTTGCTCTGGACTCCCATAGCCAGCTGGGCATTAGGAATTAGAGGGGCGATTTGGACCCCTACTGGCTATCATGGTAGGTAAAGAGAGGGTGGTGTCCACATACAGTCAGGACATGCCATTATGCTTGTACCTCTACAGGGGGTATCTACCCAATCTCTGCCCTTCAGGGAAGTCATCAGGCTTACCAAGGGGAGCAGCTCCTCTAGTCGTAGTTCCCTCTTGTGGGGTTGCTCATTAAAGACCAAACCTGGCACTGCTGCTACCTTGGTCCTGTGCAAGTGGATGTGGTGCTCATTTCCATGGCAAGAGACCAGGATGATTGCTTGTGCAGGGACATGGTTTTCTGAAGGGTGAGGCAGGAAAAGGGAAGAGGCCTGGGCCTTTACTTAGGAAACAATTAACCATATCATAGCAAAGGGATGTGAACAACATGCTAGCAACAAGTCCTGAGACTCGCATGAGAGCACAGGTGAAGCAAGGCTCCTCAGACACCTAGTGCATGTGCCAAAACCCTGGAGCAGCACACTCCACTTCCCCAGTGCCCTGGCACCCATGGAACCCAGATGCCCCCCCTCTCAGGCTGTGCACCCCTCTCTCTCCATTGTCTGAGGGTCTGAGTGGAAACCCCAATTTATAAAATGTAGGTGGAAGCATGATTAGCAGAGCCAGTCTGCTTCTCAGGCTGCTGGCACTAGAGCAATGGACCCAGAGAGTGGGTGACCTGGCTAAGGAGCCAGGAGTGTAAGGGGAGGGCCTGCCAGAGTGAGACCCTGCATAGCAACCTAGGCTCAAGGCCAACACTGGAGCAGCAAAGAGGCTCAGACAAACAGAAGGAGAAGCCAAACCCTGGAAAATCTCCTGCTCTGGGGAGGGATTGACAGGATGCCCAGAGATATGGCATTTGCATCCATGCATAACCATGGCAGGGGCAGGGCTACCATGGAAATTGGGACATATATCAGCAATAAGCAAGGGCTCTTTCTTATTAGTGAGAATCCCAGGGGCTTTGAGGGAGTGGTTTATTACAACAGCATCTTGCAGCCCCGCAATGCAGTGCAGAGCTGGCTGCATGGCCTTCTCCCCCCAATACACTCAGAGGAGACACAGGGACTGGGAACCAGGAGGGAGATCTGAGGAAAGATCAGGAGGAGGAAGGGCTGGGAGGCCAGTTTGGACATGGCCCTGGTGTGTAGCTGTGTGTGGGTGTGGGGGGTTCCTGTCATCTCCCTGATCCTGGCTGGCCTGCATAGGATGTGGAGCAGAGCAAAGACAAGTGGCTGCTCTCTGGAGAAGACCAGAGATCAAGGTGGTCTGGAGGCCAGGCCCCTGAGATGAGGTGAAGTGAGGGGACTCGCATCTGCAGGGACTCTGGGAACACCCACTCCACTAAGGTCACCACCAGCAAGAGGTCAGTTCTCACAAGGGGCTCAAATGGACCCTGCTTTTGGCAGGCTGCAGTCAGGGAAAATTCACCTCCTCCCCTCCAGCTGGTGGAGCACATTAGCATCATCCTGCCACTGACCTCAGACGACTGGGAGCAAGACAGATTGGGAGTCATTAACCCCCCTTCTACTCCCTGCTGTTCACATGGGCAAGCTGAGGCAAACAGCAGTGAAACAACTCGCCTAACATCATTCTGCATATCTGTGGCAGAGTCAAGAATAGAACCCAGGAGTCCTAACTCTCAGGGCTGTGATCAGCAGCCCAGACCAACATCCTTTTCTGCTTATAGACACCTCAAAGAGAGTCCTCACCATCCTCCCCAAAGCTAAGCAATAGCTTCTCCTTTATGTCTTATTCCCAGTAAGGGGTTGCTCAGCCTTGGAGAAGAGAGTTTCTGGCATGGGCAGAGCCCACGTGCCATCTCCTAGCTGACACTGAGTCCTCAGGACAATGTGGCAGCAGCATAAGAGCTTTGCTAGGCAATGAAAGCAAGCCGGATATAAATGGAGAGAGCACAGGGATGACAAGATGAGATGGAACCCTGGCTTCAGGTGGCCTCCAGTCCTGCTGGGGAGTGACATTGTCCCCCCACCAACACACATACATGCACACAATGTGATTGTGTTGGCACTCTGCAGGTGCCAACACTAGACCACTGCAACTGCATGCCTACCCGATCTGCTGTCAGTGCCCAGCCTGGCCCTCAAAGGCAGCATCTCAGCCAGAGCACTGGGAGCTCAGCAGGCACAAGCTCGTCTGGAAGCACCTGGCATGTTGCTCATCCCTGAAGGGTTTACATGCTTCACTGTATTATCTGTGATCCTCTTTCTTATGGTAGGGCCAGCCCAGAATGAACCTCATTGTGCTAGGAGCTGCACAAACAGAGTAGCAGAGGGTCCCTGCCCCAAAGAGTTTACAGTAGAAACAGGCAGGACAGACACAGGGTGGAGGTGGGTGGAGATGAGGTAAAGGGATGCACAAGAGAGAGAGGGAACAAGAGCTGGAGCAAGGTGCCACTCACCACAATGCAGAGAGAACCACAGTGACCCACAGACAGCAGCTGGTACTGCTGAAAGTCTCTAGTTCACTGTTGCTCCTACCAGCCTGCTTTCCTCTGCAGCTTTCCCCCCTCCATGGCCACATGGGAAATTGGGCTGGGAAGGCCCAACAACATGCATCCTACCACTCCCATCTCCTGTTTAATGGAGAACAGGGCTGTGCTGAGCCTGGGCAGCTTGTAATGTATCCAGGCCCATGATCTGGAAATCAGCCATGTTCCTAATGCCAACCTTGAGACCATCCAGGTCTGCAAGGGAGGCTGCTGTGCCCTCCCCCAGGCTGGGAGCTGTCTTTGCAAAGCAAAGCCCACCAAGCACAAGACTGCAGTGGTGATTTCTCTACCTGAGCTCCCAGCCATGGAACTGGGGGAGGTAGCACCTGGACTCTGAGCTTCCTGGACGCACTATGGGCATGAGAGCAAAGAGGCAGCTGGATTGGTTCACTGCAGACTGCTGACAGGCATCAAGGTTGCAGATAAAGTTTCTTCTGTCCCTTTGCCAGTGAGAGCATTTACTAATAGGCGGGAGCTGGGCAGGGTGAGCTAGGGCCACTGGGGAGATTTCTCCTGAAGTTATGAGATCATCTGCTACAGCAAGGGACAGCTTAGCTGTCCCCACCCCTGCCCAGCGGCTCCTCCTAGTCTCCCTGCATCCCCTTCCCTTCTGTGTGATCCCTATTTTCATGATCACCTATGCTCTGCTCCTGTTCCCAAGGTGGGACATCCTAGATGTCCTCTTCCACTTGTGGAGGGTCTGAGAAGCATCTGCTCTTGATTCTGCTAGCCTGGATTGCCCCTTGCATCAAAACATCCCAGGAGAGAATCATGGAAACCGAGGCCTGAAGACGAACCTCTACGGCAATCTCTTCCAACCCTCGCACAGCCACAGGAGTTGCTGTTCCTAGCCCCATCCCAGGAAGATGCCCATCTAGCCTATTGCAGTCAGACATCTCCCTGAAGAGCCCCCATGTGCCTCCCATTGGGGGGAGAGCGTATATGGGAAGGTTGATGCCATCTTTGCAGGATCCATCAGGGACACAGGCCCCAAACACCATCAGCCTCGCACAGTATCAGGGTCAGGCCATCCACGTGGAGTTTCCATGTGCTTAACATGCTGGAGGCTGCGTGGGAGATGGTGGATGGGGCATCAAGAGGGCTGAGTGCCCCCTGGGACCAAGAAGCAGTCTGAGCCAGGGCCTTTTCTGAGGCTCCCCAAGTGTTGCCATTTGCTCCTTTCCAGCCCTCCTTAGCCTGTTCCCTCTGGATAAGCCTTCCTAATAGCCATGGCACTTAGTTTTCTTGCTGACTCATACCATGAGCCCGTGCCACCTTTATCCTGCAGGGAGCAGCAAGTCAAACTTGGTTTTCTGCTGCCTTGCAGTTCAGTGTTGAAAAAAGCTAGGCATTGCCATCAGGGTCT